CTAGGGTAGGTGGAGGAACCTGCAAGTTTAAAGGAAAAAGAAAAGGAGAGAATATTTTCAGAGATTCTGCTTGGTTTCTGATTATTGCTACCATTTTAAAGGTAAAAAGCATTGCATTTCAGGTATTTTTTGTTTTTTTCTCTTTGGTGCAATTGGCTCATTTAAGAATTTCAAAACCTTTAAAAGCTTTTTTTTTTTTTAAAGGAAATCCATAAATTTTGTTCCCAGGGTTGCGCTCGACTTGGAGTGCTGTTGTGTACATACTATTATATGGTTTTATTTATTTTTTTTTTTTACTGTGCAAATCAGCTAGATTTTTTCCAAGTGCCATTTAAGATTTATTCCTATTTTTTTCCTTCCCTCAGATATATCTGCTGTTGTCATTTTAAGCATTTGAGACCAGAAAATTATTTTTTTTCCTCTTTGGAGCTACTAGATCTCTTGCCAACAGAAGGACAGCTGGGGAAACTGGATTTAAAGGATGTTTTTTATCTGTATTTTGCAGTTAAGAGTGATATTTTGAAGGCACATTCTTTCTGTGATTCATTTTTTAGCCCATAGTGCTAACCTTGAAGAGATTTGTGGTTGGGTTTTTGGTTTCTAAGAAGGTCATAGTTTTTCCTCTTTTCCTTTCAGTTTTTTTTTTAAGAGGGGGGAGGGGAAAGGGGGCTAAGAAAGGAGACCATGTTAACTGGTAGAAGTAGAATGGAGCGTCAGTTACCAGGGTCCTGAGAACTGGAGGAAAAAGGTTTCAATCTTCAAGTTGGGAGGCCCTCCTCTCACCTTTCTTAAAAATTGCAAGTGCTCCAATCCTGATCAAGACACCAAAGCTACTGGAACCGTGGAGACACTGAGAAACCATGAGTGTAAGGTTACCCCAGAGCATAGACAGGTAGGTTTGCTAATAATTTGGGTTTTCAACACTTTCTAAAGGAAAGACTGGGAGGGAGCGTGTTGCATTTTGATAAAAGGTTGCAAAATAAGGGTCTGGCTGGGCTGTGGGAATTGGTGGGTTAGGAGCAGTGGTCTCTGGGGAAGGTTGGCGTGTCTGTTTATGTTCTCTCTGTGTATGTCCATGTTCAAAACATAGCTTTTGATTCAGCGTCTTTTTAATATAAGCAATAAACAGTGAAGCCAGGAGAGGGGAAGGAGAGGGAAATGCTTCCACTGGCTTTTGACTTTTGCCAGGCTAGAGGCTGAATTTGGGTCCTCCCAACTTGCCAGCTTTGGGGTGGGAGGCAGGCGTAAACCTAGTCATGTGACCCCCCGCCCAGGGATGGATTGGGACTGGCTTTAGGTGTTGGAGCTGCTGGGGGAAGGGCCCTGGCAGGGGCGTGGGCCTCCACCAGGCTGGTTGTTATGGAATGGTGGGGCTTGGTGATGGGGTGGATCCCATTTCTAGTATGAGGAGGATGTTCTTGGCCTGAATAATGGGACAGAAACACCCTTTGCACCCATATAGGTCTGGATTTTTACCCGTGACTGATATGGCTCCAAAATGCATAGGTCACATTAGAATTTTCTCCCCTCCAAGATTAGAGTTTAAATTGAGACCTGCCAAACAGCTGATACTCTAGGTTTAATCTTCCAAGCCGTTTTTTAATAAGCTTCACTCTGCAAAATGGGCCTTCCCTCTGCCTAGAGCTGGAAGGAGTTGTTTTGGGCTCTTAGGCCTGATGGGCAGAGGCTCTGGCCCTGAGTCTGAGCACATGATCCCCCTTTCCCCAAGAGTCTGCCCAGCCTTCCCTGTATCACTGGTAATGTTACAGTGTGGTTTTAATTCTTTCTTCCAAATGATTGGACAACTTTGTAAGGCGTCTGCCTTTTCCCTCCCTCCCCTACCCCTCCTCAACCCTTCTCTCCTTAAGAATCTTGAGGGGGGTGAGTTTTGTGGGCTCTGCACACATCCTAACTAGATTGATGGGTGGTTGGAGGACTGAACAAGCAAACGAAAGGACTGGGCCTGGAAAAAATGTTATTGGAGAGATAGGGAAGAATATTAGTGAGAGAGCAGTTGCTCTCTCTGTGTCCAGTCAACCTTTGGTTATCCGTGCTAATAATAATTTCCTTTTGGCTGTGGAATGTGGCCTAAAATGCATATAATCTCTCTCTCCCAAACACTAATCTCTGTATTGCCTCGGAGTCCTGTTTAGATTAGTTCAGCAATCCCTAGACAGGGAACTGACTTGGCAGTGGAGAAGAGGAGGCAGACAACCACAAAGGATACATGGCTGGTTCAGGCTCTTTCTGTTGGCCTCTCTGTAGTTTGACGCTTGGACAGGGAGAACTGAGGCATGTCAAGACAAGGAGATGAAATGGTTTACATGGCTTCCCTTCTTCCCTCTTCAGCCTCTTGGAGTTCAGGAATTAGTGTACTTGCCTTTTTAAAATTCGTGTGGTGAGCTATTTCTGTCACTTCGGGGATGTGAGAAGGTGTTGACCTAGGTGTTGGGGGGTGCAAGAAGGAGAAGGCAATGAGGATTCCTGGATTGATGTGAGACACTCCTCTGGGAGTTTGGATATCCTCACAGATACAAATCTTAGGATTTGTGTAGCACATTACAGTTTCTTAAGGGCTTTCATAGCACGTATCTCTTTTGAACCTCACAATATTTCTGTGAGGTAGACAAATCAGAGGTTATTATTCCCATTTTACAGGTGGGGAAACTGAGGCTCAGGATACCTGGCTTGCCCAGTGCCATCTTGCCACATTAGTGGCAGAATCTGGACTCAAACACACATCTTCTGATTCTGAATCCATGGCTCTTTTCATTGCCCCACCATGTCTAACTAGGTTTGTATATTGGTCCTGTAGAATGTATGGGGCACCATTTATGCTCTCTCTTTGGCAGTAGGGTAAGATGCTCTTCAGCAGTCAAGGTATTCCCTTGCACTTTTCTGTTTGACAGTCTTGGGGCTCACAGCTGTAAGTTCTATAGTTAAAGCACCATTTTCTCCTGAGGGATAATGCAGGGTAGAGGGCATTCCTCACCTTCACTTGGTCTGATTCTCTTCCCCGTTAAGAAGGTCAGTGCTAGGACCCAGGTTTCTGTCTAGATATTCCCAGCTAGCTGCACTGATCTTGCCCCCTTTCCTGTAGGCGTTTTGGACGTTTGGACATCACAGGTTCAAGATCCTATGGATTTTAAATAATTTGTACTCTTAAACCATACTGGATGGATTGAGTAGAATAAAATACAGGTTATGGAGTCAAGGATTCTCTTTTAGTTTATCAGTTTGCTATGTAGAGGGCCTAGTATAAGGGGCTATAAGAATGTTTTAGAAAATTTAAGTATATAGTTCTTGCTCATAGAGAGCATGCAGTCTAACTGGGGGACTAGGAAACATAAAAGACTCCTGAAGACCACATAAAAGCAGCACTAGACTGTAAGCTCCATGAATGCAGGGACTGTGTTTGGTTAGTTTATGTTCTATCTTGTGTGCCTAGTTTAGTGCCTTGCCTGAAGTAAGTACTCAAGAAATATTTGACAAATGAATGTTGGAGTGAACCAACATATCAGCAAGTATAAATTCCTCCATTTCAAGTTGTTTCAGCATCCATATGTTAATTTCAAATGTCAAAATAAGGTCAATTAGAGAAGTTTTCCTAGGTAATGTGTATTTTCTACAAGATGAGCAACGTGAAGGAGGACCGATGTATTTGGAGAGATACTGTGTCTCCGACTAAAGAAGACTTTGGAATATTTATTTGACGGTCTTTTACCCCCTGTACCTTCCTTTGGGGCGTGAATCCTGGGTCCATAGAAAGTGTAAAAGTATTTGCAACTAATCTTTATCTTTTAATGTTAATCAATTGTTACTGAGAGATGGGCTAAACGCAGCTGTTCGTGTCTCTTTCAGGTTTTGTCCATGGACAACTTACTGCCCATTATTATATATTCTTTTCAAGAGTTTCTAAAAATGTGTTTCATATTGCAAATAGGTAATGATACTGAGTTATTTTTACAGAAGTGGTAATGAGTTTTGCTAAGCCATCTATATCCATTTGCCTAGTTCTCCATGGCAAATGTTTTTGAGATGTCCAGATGGGTTAGGAGTTTACATCCATGAAACAGCTTTTCTCTGTGCAAAGTTAGTTCATGTGATGACCAAACTAGACAAAAGTACGAAATTTAAGCCACAAGTTCTTGGTTTGAGCCCCGGCTTTCCCCTTAACTATGTGACCTTGGGCAAATCATATGCCTCCTCTGGCTTCCTCATGTGTAAAGCAGTAATAGCTCGTTTATGTAAAGTACTTTCCAGTTCACAAATATTTTTACATAGTGTGTCATTTGAGGATTATAACGTTTATTGCATCTCTTTCACAGGGCTGTTGAAAGGAGCAAATCAAATGAGACAATATATTTCAAATTGCTTTCTAAACTGTAAAACTCTGTATAAATTTTAGATGGTAAACTCATAGATTTGATTTAGCTTCATGCACTGCTTTCTGAGCTAAGTAACCCAAAACAAGTTAAAGATGACTGAACGATCTTTCCATCGTTTTGAAGAATTTAAGCAGACTGAACAGGGTTTATTGTTGCAGAATTACACAAGGTTAGGAAGAAGGAATGCTTTTCCAGTGGTCAGGGTTGGGTGATCATACTAGAAGAATATGAGAAGAGGAAGGTTATTGACTCTCCTTCCCAGGAATTTTGATGAATGAGAAAGATTTCATCTCCCTTGGCTCACTTAGATGTCTTTCAGTGACAGGGATAGAAAGGATTTGTTTTGCGATCTCTGGCCATTCCTTGTCTTAGAAACAAGGAATTAGGAATCTCCTGATTTAAAATAAATCCAGACCCAGCAACTGTTCCAATCAGGGATCTCTTTCGACTTTGGCTTCTGGTCTTTATTGAGCCCTGGGCCCAAGAAATCCCCAGACATTTAGCTGAGCTTCTATCTAGTTTAGAAGGCTGGCATCCCAGAACGGTGCCAGAGATCCAGAGTTACAAATAGTAAATCCCCTGAAATTCTGAGTCTTTTCCGAAATGTACCCTTGTTCCTATCTAGGGGACTGATGAGAGATGGCAGTGGATTTGCTGATGAAACATTTGGCAATTAATCACCATTATGAGCAGGAGCAGGCTAAGCTTAACATACTCAAGA